TTAAGTTTAAAAAATTGAATGAGATTGTCTATTTTTAGAATGATTTATTTTGACATGATTTTCTCTATTTTTTAAATTCTAAGTCAATGAATCTGGATGAATTAATAGTTTGGTGAATTTAGATAAAAAATAATTTAAATAATGAAAATAATATGATAATCTAATAATAATGAAAGATTTTGTTTTTTTTGTGAGATTTTATGCATAAAATCATTATTTTAATGAAAAAATAATATTTTTAAAAAATGCATTAATAAAAAAATACAAAAATTAATAATAAGATGATAAAAAAAAATTATTTTTTGTGATTTGAAATTAATGCAAAAATTTAAAAGTAATGAAAAACAAATAAAAGAGAGAAAAACACTAAAAGCTAGAAATGAGGGATTCAAACTTCTAACCTTCCCCCTCGTAACCCCTTAGACAGTCTATTCTATCAATTGTGCCATTTCATTTATTCGAAATAAAGTGGCACTAGAAAGCATATGAAGCGTAGGCAATATTTAGGGTACGACAAGATGAATAACTCACTACAAGAAAATTGGAGTTTTACGACACATAGGCCGTGATGGTAACTTGGCAACCACCCTCCTTCTCCACTTACGACGATTTCGACAGCGGTTTTGGTCCAACCACCCTTTTATTTGTAAAAAAATAATAAAAGGTCGCGACAGTTGGTCTGCAAACCTCCCTAAAACGTGCTCTACAACGGTTACGCACTCGCTGCCCCCACTAAACCCTTCACACGCATAAACCTCTTCTGAAAAATAATAAAAATGACGACGATGACTTAACCCATAGTCCCCCTAAACTCTTCACGTGCAGAAATATTTTTTAAAAAATATTAAGAGTCACGACAGTGACTTCACCTGCGCGTCCCCCTAAATCCTTGACCCGCGCAACACATAGTGAAATTTTAAGTTATTTCACTTCTTTTCTTCTTCTTCTTTCTCTTCTTCTTTTTTTTTTATTATCTCTCTTGTTCTTTCTTCCCCCACACAAAAATCCGAAAGAATGATTTATCAGTACCTTAAGTCGCATCAATTGAACAATTAATCTGTAAATTTTCGATTTCGATTGTTATTGTTATTGTTTTTTCTGCAATAAACGATTTTGATTAGGTTTTTTATTCACTCCTTTCTATTATGAATGATTTTGATTGTTTTTGTTTTTTTGGTTTAGTATTTTAGGGTTTTGAGCTCTATTATTTTAGGGTTTTCAGCTCTGTTAGTTTACAATTCTGAAATGTCATGATTCTTTGCTCTAATGTATTTTTTTTCCCTGAAACTTTAAGGTTACACCAATAAAATAGCCAAAACTTGCTAGTGAAAAATTTCAGTATGAAAATAACTTCATGTATGCCATAACTTTAGTCTGTAGGAAAATATGTTAAATATTAGCAAGTGCATAAGTTTGAATGACTAATATATTATTATTAGAAGTAATTGAAACATGAACTATGTTGAAAAAATGAGAAGTTCTGAAATTTAACATCTAAGAATATTCTGCACTTGTAAAAGAATATCATATGAATTGAAGGAACTAATTTTCTTTCAAAAATAGTATTATTTTTCACTTGATATATTGAATTAAAAATATTTTTTATAAATTATAAATTTAAAATAAATATATAAATATTAGTGGTTCAACTTAATATGAAATGTAAGTTAGTTAGTATAGTGATAAAGAAATTTATTTTTGACTCAAAAATCCGAAGTTTGACAAGTGCTATCTATATTTTTACTATTTAAATATATTATTATTTAAAAAAAATGCTAAAATGTAATATTATTTCTCTACCTTTCTTTTTATTGGAGTCAATTTTTTAAAATTAGAAAATATGGGGGATGACCTTGGAAGAATGTACGCTCAAAGTTACTCCAATGTTAAAGTAAAACGAATTGCATGCAAATAAAAATAAAAAATTGATTGATTGATCATACATTAGAGTAAACCCTTTATTTATAATGTAGTTAAACTCACATGCGCTCCATGCGGTTGATATTTCTATTGAAGATATCTCAGAGATCATTGATGGATAAACATTACTTTATTACTATAACTGATTTTGAAATAAGCATTGTCTCACTAATCTCATTTCAATATGCTTTGTAAAATTTAAAACGGTATAAGCATGTGAGTGCATCTTGATGTTGGATTTATAGTCACGTTAGTTTTAAGAGATGATTCGTTATCATGCAAGTTTTTTTCAAAGTAAAAAAAAAATTAAGTTTTAAGAGATGATTTGTAAATTAAATTTTTTTTTCTTCTTATTCTAAAGATTTAGGTTTGTTACCATACAAGTTTTTCTCGAAATACGGAAAAAACTTAGGTAGATACAAACATAACACTTAGTTTTACAAATAATCAATTACAAATTTTTTATTAATTAAAAAATAAAAATAAAATATTCTCTCTTCTTCATTATCACAACCACCCATAATTCCAATTAAAATATATTTAAATAAATTTTAAAAAAATTATTTTTATTGGTTGTTTCTAAGAATAAGGATTTAGGTTCGTTACCATGCAGGTTTTCTTCTCGGAAGTACTTTTATACGTTGTGTCATGTTACACTGATGTTAGTAAGTCGCTTTTCTAAATATTAATTTTTATGGATAATTTATAATATATTTAAGACAAAATATCTTTTTTTGTCCCTTAACTTTATCTCATGGTCTATTTTGGTCTCTTAATTTTTAAAATGTTCAAATCGATTGATTAATTATTTAAAATGGAGCAGATGAGTCTTTTTCGTCTATTTACTCCAAACGGACGTTTAGGGCTAAAGACGTGGCTGATGACATGGCTTGTCTTCTTCTTTTTCCTTTCCCTATTTCACCACCATCTGCATCTTTGTTTTTCTTCATTTTCCTTCATAGGGTTTTGTTATGTTAAATTGATTTTGATTCCCAAAAATTGAAGATTAGGGTTCATCCTCCATGAAATCAGGTTATGCTTCATCCTCCATGAAACAGGAAAGCCATGAAAGTCTGAATTCTAGTGTGTTCACGAGCTCGAATCTTTCATGAATACCAAGTCGTCATTGTGGAGACACGAATATTCTTCGTAGGTTTACAATGACAAAGAGCTATGGAAAACATTTTTGGGGTTATTCTCATTTTAAGGTATGTATGTCATATGTACAAGGAGTTTGTATGGTTGTTACAATTTTGAATAATCAATTGTAAATTGTGGGGAACAATGCAACCTGGGTGTGGGTATTTTGAATGGTTCTATAAGGAAGCTCAAGATGACAAAGGGAAAATTATAATGTATATATTGGAAAAGTTCTTTGAGGAACCTCATTCTATTTGTTGCCCATCTTTCCATACACTATGTTATGATCTCTTCCACCATGGTGACTAAGGATTTGTGCCTTGGCTTAAGACTAGCATTGTTGAAAGATTTTGACATGTTATTGTGTACAACATCACATTTGTTAGTTCCCCTAAAATAAGATCTACTCCAAAATATTGGTGGTGTCTTCATCATATGGAGATATGCTTCTTCATTGATCAGCCTCATTCCCTTCATCTCTCTTTCCCAGACTTGTGCATATGTTGATTTAACAGCTTTCAAATTATTTTCTTCAGCATCTTCCCATGATATTTTTTTCCTGAAATTATTGTATAAGTGTCTGACACAGAACCTTTGCTCAACATTAGGAAAAAGTTCATCCATGGCTGGTAGTAAACCCTACAACATAGCCAACAACATTAATACAATAATGTACACATAAGCCAACAAAATTAGTAAATGAATTAAATTTAATTTAATAATTTTCACATACCTTTTGTTGATCATAAATGCATGTGTATGTGAAACATTCATTTTTTCCTCCAAGGTCATCAATCAATAACTCTAAAAATCATGTCCAACTGCCCCTATTTTCCCCTTCCACCACTGCATATGCTATAGGTAGCATTTAATCATTTGGATACGTACCTATAGTAACCAAAGTTTTCCCTCCATATAGCCCCTTAAGAAAACAACCATCAAGTCCTATGACATGCCTAGAAAACTTGAAGCTTTCCTTACATGTTGCAAAGCATATATATATATATATAGCCTTTTGAAATATGGTCTTTGATCATCTGAACCTTCTTGAGCAGGTTCAACACCAAGCTTCACTATGAATCCTGGGTTTGCTCTCAACAACTCATGGCAATAATCATATATTTTGGTGTAATTCCCTAAGAATGATCCATCAACATAATCTCTAGCTTTAAACCTTGCTCTTATTGCCTTAGTTTTGTTCACACCTATATTCCACTTCTTTTATGCATTTGCCTTTATATCCTTTATTTTCATCCAAGAATTGGTTTTTAAATAGTTTTGGATCCTCTTGCTCAACCATTTGGGAGTCATCAGCTTCACATTATAATCCCTGCTACAACTATGCACACCATTCACCTTCTTTAATTGCCAAGTTTCTTCATTTGACAATTTGGCACAATAAGCTTCCCAATCACACTCATCCTTACATTTTACCCTCACCATTACCTTGTCATTTTTATTGAACTTAAGATTTCTACCACTATGGATAACATATGATGTTATTTCCTCCTTGAAATCATCTTTTGAACTAAAGTACACACCTACCTCCCATTTGAAATCGGCCATGTCCTTTTGCATCTTAAACATTGAGTGAACCTTTTTTGAACACCACAACTATCATCACTATCACAACCACTCACTAGCTCATCACTTTCATTATCACTCACTTTAAATTCACCCTTGTCTTTTTCCCATTTCGCTTTTTGGTTTTTGGATTGTCCCTCTTCAAGTTGTTCATGTTCAAGTAGATTTTCCAACTCATCTTCGTCTATATCATCAAATCCATCAGAAGAATCATCAAAAGCTACCTCTAGAGCACTATCATACTTGTACAAAGAATTCTCACTATCATCACTATGTAGAGCATCATCCACCTCACCACCTTCCATACCAACACTTTGTGCATCCATACCAACATTTTGAGCATCCAAACCAACATTTTAAGCATCCAATTCTGCTTCTATAGGCCCATCCAAACCAACATTTTCAGCTTCTTTGAACTTACCATTTTCATTGACTGCTTCTTCATACAATTTAGAAAGCAATTCTTCAACTACATTAGGTTCCTCATTAACATTGTCACCATTTCCTAATTCTGCTTCTATAGGCCCATCATAGTAATCAGTCTGATTAAGTTTGTGTTGAATGTAAATGTTTACACCTAGGTGTACCCTGTAAAGATTAGCTATTTCTAATGCTCCTGCATCATCATTCAATGAATTCATCCCAAATGTCGGGTCATTGTAATAGATTTTCTCAAAATCCCTATAACCTAAGTCCTTCAGTGTACCTATCAACTCAAAGTAACTCCATCTGTCCACATCTACTTTCAGCTCATTAACTTTCCCTCCTTCATACACTATAAGATCACCATAAACAAATTCACTATTATGATGAATTCTTATTATTATAAACTCGTCCATTACACCTAGTCAGTTCATAATCAATATTATTAAAAACTCTAATTTCTCATATTGAAAACATGCAAAGCCCTAATTAAAAAAAAAACTAATTTCTCAGATTGGAAACATGTAGAACTCATATAAAGGAACAACTTTCTAACCTGTTTGCAACGATGATTTCAACATTTCGCTCGAACGACCACACTTTCTGGAACGATGCTTTTCACCTTCAACGTTCTTCTCTGCACGATGCTTTTCATCTTCAACGTTCCTTCCCTTGGCTTTCTGAAAATGACAAAGTTCACAAAAGCATAACATATAACATGTTAAAGCCACGTCAAAGCCACATGGACACTCTTTCTGAACCCTCACTAACGGAAACAGACAAAAGGATGAACATGACCCATTTTAAATAATTAAGGGATCGATTTGAACATTTAAAAAAATTAAGGAACCAAAATTGACCTCCAAAATAAAGTTAAAGGACAAAAAAAGATATTTTACCTCTATTTAAATTGAAGGGCTTATATCTAATGATAAATTTCCTTTATTATTATAAATATTCTTGTAAATCACCAAAAACTATTTTTATAAAATAACAATTTTGATTTTTAATCCAAAAGAAAAAAATATAATGAATCAAATTAAGCCATTTTTAAATAAATTGTGTTCAGTTCTTTTTCTTTGTTAAATAAAATTTTCATTTTACTCAAAATTAATTTAACCTATTTATCTCTTATAATTTTTTAAAAATATGCTATATTTACAAATGGGTACATAAATCACCGTAAATCTCATATCGTCAAATGGAGTATATTTTTTCCACTTTATTTTATAAATAATGAAATTATAATACGTTGACGGTCTATACTATCATTTAATTAAAACTTATTATTTAATTATATCATATAATTAATTTAAAATAACAACAGTATAATTTTAAAAATACAATAGTGATTAGTTAAAAGTGTAAAGCTATTTTACGGTCGTTGCATATTTTTTGTTCTCATAAATAATTCTAGTTTCACTTTTTATCTCTCATATTTTGCTAGTGTATATTCAATATTCATCCTATATTCCTTAGTTTAACCTGGACTTGTTTCCTACCGTTAGTACTTTTCCAATATCTAACGGAAACTTTTATTTTATTTCTATTCCATTATTATCTAAGCGCGTATAAGAAACAATTTCAAATATCAACGGCTGAAATTCACGCGCTTATATTTCTATAAATACCTTTAACCTAATTACTTTCTCTCACACACTTCACTCTTCTCTCATTCCAAACACAGAAACTATTTCATTCTCTTTTTTTAATCTCAAATCTGAAAAAAAAATGTCTCTATTCAATTTGAATTTGGCTTTTATAATTGTGGCTGCATTATTGTTGACCACTACAATGGCTCAATCTCCCGCTTCATCTCCGATCAAATCGAGATCGAAGTCTCCGAGAAAAGCAATATCTCCGTCACCAACTGTCGTGACTCAACCACCTGCTTCTTCTCCCGCCAACGGAGGTTCTCCTCCTAAACAATCGGCATCTCCTCCGGCGATCTCTCCTTCTTCCATCTCTGGTCCACCATCTGAAGCACCGGGACCTGCTTCCACCGGTGCCGTTTTGAACAGAGTCTCTGTGGCTGCTGGATCTGCGCTTCTGATTTTCGTAGCTGCTTTAATCATGTAGATGCAGAATTTCTCCGTGTATTCTTTAATTTTTTATTTAATTATTTATACTTATATTTATTCTTTGTTTTGGTTTGATTTATTTTGTACTACGGTTCTTATGAATGATACATAAAGAATTTTTTATATTTTTATTTCTATATATACTATATTTATTAATTTAACTATCCTTTAGTCTGAAAGAATTGTTTCTGTGATTGATCTGAAAGAATTATTTTGTTGCAGATAAAGAATTATTTAAATCGTGGTTTGGTCTGGTTTAAACTAGGACCGAAATGATAATCACTCGGTTATGGCTCCAAAATTTAAATTTGATTTAAATTGCAGTTTTATTATATGGTTCAATTTCGATAAATAAGGATTTAGCTTTTGTCGGATTCAGTCCAATTGATTTGGTTGATAGATTTAATCGATTTAATATTTATTACATTAAATTTATAAAAAGGATTTTTTTTACGCTATTTTTTCTTTATTCAATATATATAATTTTATTTTAAAAAAATGATATATTTTTTAATAGCTAAAAATAATATTAGAATGTATATGACAAATACATAATTAGTGGTCTTTTAACTCTACTATCTCATCTTTAAGTAAGAACTCTATTATTTAACTTAAAATTGCACTAAAATTTAATTTAAAATTGCACTAAAATGCTAGTTGTATTTAGAAATTTTAACCATTATAAAATATGATAAATGATGAATTACATAAATGATGAAATAAGCTATTCACATTATATAATAAATTATAAAATAAATGTTAGAATTTAGAATCATAAATTTTAAATGTAATTGGTTGTTGTTTACTTATGTTTGATATTTTACAAAGGAGTGAAATATATTGACATAAAACTTTAACTTATTGTATTGACTTAAATTATCTTCTATTCTTAACCTATTATTTTAATTTAAGTCCTTCAAGTCTTCTATTTCCTTTAATTTCTTCAATCTCTTAAACATTTTAATTGTAATTCTTTTAGTTAATAAATTCATCATTTGTTCTTCACTTCTATGATACTTTAATTTCAATTTTATATTTATTTGATTACGTAAAAATTATATAAACTATCATATTTGAGAGAAAATGCGTCATTTAAAACTTTAAAAAAATATTTTTAAGAATTAAATCTATAACTTTTACACATTATCTATCCATAAAATTAAAACCGAGAGATTAAATAATATATTTTTTATGACATGTTTCTTTCCTTACCTCGTATTTGAAACTGAAGTAACACTTCATCTCCAAGCAAAAATAAATGTGTTCTATAATAGTGCATCTTGTTTTTTTAATCATCTCAATTTTTTTGACTTTAAGTCACTCTATTGGACATATTCTATTATTTGAGATGTTGATTCTTTTTATGGATGTAATATATTTAAGTTGGACTTGGTAGATCCAATCTTTTTACAATGATAAATTTTCTATTATTTTGTCAAATAGTTTTGCAAATCAACAATAACTCTTTTACAATGTAAACTACTTGATATTTAATTGAAAATCACAATAAATCAAATTAGACTACTTTTAAATAAAACATATCAATTTCATTTATACCTTATCTTTTTAAATAAAAGTTACCTTATATTCAAATTAAAGTAGTTTATTTTTCTCTTATAGTTTTCTAAAACTATACTATATTTATAAATAGATACAAGATTCACTCTCTAACTCTCTAAATATTATATTGTCAAATAGAATATATTATATATATTTTTTCATTTTTCAATTTAAAAGTAGTGCACATTGACGATTTTTTCATTATCAATTAAAATGCGAAGACTATTTTTGGGTAGGTCAAAGAATTTTTAATCAGGTCTCCGATTTGGCTCGTTTGAGGGTTGTTTTCTTTCAGGACTATCTTTAGGGTGCGCAAAACGACCTAAAGCACAAAACCTCACACTTTTTCATAATTAAGCTATGGCTAAAAGGGCCTCCAAAAACATATTCAATTATTAATCTGTGGTTAAGTAGGGCCTCATACAAATATTTCATAACTAAACGAAAGCTAACTTTAACTTCTTACACAGAGCCTCTCACAAGTTTGAGACGACTCTGCTTTCTTTGGTAAAAGTCTAATCTAAAATGGTTAAAACTCCCTATTATAGAATTATGGACTATTTTGGAAAGATTTTTACTGGTTCTTACTCTGTAATGATACGGGTAGAGGGAGAGGGAGGCCAAAGAAAAAGGTGCCCTCGCCATCGTTGCTTGCCAATGTCTCGCAGCTGAGTGTAAGAACAAATGATTCTGAGAGAGGTTCCATTATTGAGAATGAGAACAACTCGAATGAAAGTGTTGAAGAAGAAAAATCTCCTACCCTAGACACAAAAGGCCCGATAATGGAGAGTTCCCCAAATGTTACTGAGGAACCAAAGAAATTATGGGTAAATTCATCAGTGGAAATAGAATATCATCGAAGGGAACAACTATGGAATTTGTTGAACCCAGAATCATTGAAGGAGAAATAGAGGTTGACATTGGAAAAGTTGACATTAAATCTAAAGTCGAGTTTTGGGATTTCGCTATGATAATGTATATTTTAGGTAAGGATCTAAGCATGAATGCAGTGAAGCAATACACGATCAAATTTTGAAACTTTGTTCAACTTTCTGAGACGTTTTACCACGATGAGGGATACTTTCTGTTGAAATTCAGATCACATAAATACAAAGACATAGTGCTTATGAGGGGACCATATACGATACAAAATATGCATATGGTCCTAAAAGATTGGAGCCTTGATTTTGATTTCAAATGGGACATGTTGTGTACTCTTCCTGTTTGGGTGAAGCTCCTAAACCTACCACTACATATTTGGGGAGTTAAAATCTTGGGGAAGATAGGAAGTGCTATAAGAAAACCTCTCTTTACAGATGAATGTGAAACAAACAAATTATATGTATTGTATGCTAGAATTTTGTCAGGTGATGTCACTCAAAAATGGAAGGAGAACATAATAATCAAAGACAATGAGGGGAAAAATCATATAACCTGTGGAATTTGATTGTAAGCCAAAGTATTGTGAGCTATGTCAAAAAGTTGGACACCACTGTTGTCATACCCCAAATTTGCCCTCTCCTTTGGGCTTTTACTTGCCCTTTTGGTTGTGGCTCATCTCTGCATATTCATTAGCATCATAAAACATTCATTCCACCATCTGGATTAAAATCTTGTATTCAAAGGTTCTTATTACTTATAACTGATAAAGATATGAGATTCCCTGAGAATTTTGGATGGTGCATTCAAGATAGAACTTGTTATTTGGACCAAGGTTCATGAAACCCTAATTCACTGATTTTTAGCACTAATGGATCTTGGGTATTGCATTGTGGAGTGGATTTAATTAGGGGGTACAAAGATCATTAGGGCCCACTTTGGGGGTTCACATTGCATTCGTTGTCCTTTTTATGGGCTTCACACTTTAGGCCTAGTTAGTTGATTCATCTTCTAGGTTCATTCAGTCATCAAAGGATATGTGCTAATTCAAGGTGGTATAAGGTCAATTCATATCCATGATGGAAGAAATTCATTTAACAAACAAGTTACAAATTCATTTTGCATGTTCAAACATCCATTTACAAAGATACAAAACCAAACCTTCAAAAAGATGCAAATTTGACCTACAATTGTCTTTGGTCAATTGTTGACTTTTGGTCAACCAGTTGACCAAAATAAACTCTCTAACCCTAGTTCTAAGTTCCTTAATTGCTTCATAATCAAGACATGTCATTTGGTGCTTTCTTGGATTCCTAAGTTTCTCCACATGACTTGTTAATTTCATATCTCCATACCTTACCAACCTAGGGATGTCATGCTTAACCTTCAAGACACCATGTCAAAACCATGTGCCTACATCCAAACCTAGCCAGATTCAATTACAAACCATAACACATCCATTCAATATAATCAATAAAAATTCATTGGTACAAAGGGGAGCCAAGTATTATTGCTAGTACTTTAGATTGACTTGTTGGACGTAAAAGGAAATCGCAGAAATTAATACAAATTCAGAAAACTCTGAATTAACATGTTATTGGAGAAAAGAAAGTCTTGCACGACTTGCATGGTGTTGTTGAAGTCTTGATTCTGTTTGGTCCACTCTTCCGTCGTCCAATTGATGATGATACTTGAGAGGAGCAACTTTGCTTTGGACCCATTCCTTGAAACAACAACAACACTAAAAAGTGAAAAGATATTCCTCGTATGATTATTCCTAAATGTATATATTTCTTTTAATTGAGATTTCATCGAATTCATCGCAAATACTCATAAAAATCATGTAATGACAATTTGTCATCAAAAATAATTTTTTTAAAAATAAAAATACGGAAAAAAGAAAAACGTGTGGGAGACCACACATGGAGTGCCAGCTAGTCACCCCTTGCTCTAATTCCACGTCAGGCTCACTCTCTCATATTTCTTATTTTTTTCTTCTTTCCCTTTCCAACATCCCTATTCCTCATTTCTATTAAAAAAAATCAAAGTATATACTAGTTTCTTCTTCTTCTTCTTAGGAACCAACATCTAACAACTCATACTCTCTCTCAGCTTCAGATTTTTCAACAAAAAAAAACAACAAAGTCATCCTCTTCACTTTAACTCAACAAGATAACATTTTCACTCCTCTTCTTCCTTCTTTGTCCACCCCACACAACAAAAATAACATACTCCTCATCACTCTTCTCTCATAAAATATTACACATAAACCTCTTCATCATCATCTTCAATATCACCATTGTCACACCATCATTTTCACCTTTAGCCTTTTATACCCTACATTCGTCATATCATACATCGTTCTATTGCATATTGAGCAGGCGGGTTCACAAGGTAAGGATTATATCGGTTCTTTGTTTTCCATTCCAAATAAGACAATTTTCCTATAATTGGACTACATGGAAGAAAATGTACATCATCAAAGATACTCCATTGGGTCCAGTATGAATCCAATTTGAGGTGGTCACTCAAAGATCAAGAACAATGCAGTTCAGGATC